GACAACAAAAATGTTTTCCCTTTTCACATAAAATTTGATTTGATTCATATTTTTAAACATACATTTAGATAAAATTCGCACATGCTGGTCATTCACTACCAGTATGTGTTACGTGCACGTTAACCCGTACGAAAGTGTGAGAAGTTTGCCCGTACGGTTTCGTAGAACACCCCCTACGTAACTTACGTGTGCTTATATACGGGTACCCGTTAATTAGCGTACGCGTCGTGATCGGTACCTTGGACAAGAACAGGTTATACAAATCATATTGCTTTCGGTCATAGGATTTGAATGATGGGAGAAAAATAATCCTTCTCTGCCTTAAGGTTGTAACAGAGAAGTTCTCAATCCTTGGAGTGAATTATAAGGTTGTTTACCCTCGACAGAGCATCGGGTTAGATAACCAAGTAGATCACCCCTCCGGTTTGATATGTTACTGTCACACCCTTAAGGGAGGGGGAAATTCTATAAATCAATAAACAACAATGCATTGTATTACATAAAATTGATGATTATACTCAATTTAGACTTAGTATTACAACTTAGTGGTCTGGAGATAAAGTGTTACAGTTGTGGTAAACACAAACTATCATACTACGTTCAAAAAACCTACAACATGAAAACAAGAGAACGATTAAATTGGCACTATGACAACTTCAGAACATATACAAATAAAGAAATAAACATTAGTACACACTGTCTATTTTAATTATAAAACCTTATTATAACTTAACGTCTGATTATTTTGAAATAAAAAAGGTACATGTTGTTATGAAAACTCAAAAACCATAACAGCTGATACATATAAATGTAACCTATACCAATTAACAAGATACAAAAAAAAACAATTTTCATTTCGTTTTTTTATCACTTCCGTGTCGACAGAATATGTTTGAAGAAGCCCTGAAGACAGGGCTCTCCTAAATCACTACCATGTATTCAAACTGTTACTTTCAGTACACAAAACGTTGTTTTAATCCACCTCTGTGAATCAACCTTAGAAAATACAAATATAATATAGATGCATGTTTGTACATATATGCGCTAACTATAAACTATTAACCGATGAGAATGTTACAATTATGTATTTGACCATGAATAATATTTTCATACATGTACATTTTATATAAATAAATGTATAGATTTGTCAAAGGGTAAAGCCTTCAATAAGAAATATATAATACATGTTTCAAATAAAGTGGTAATTATATACAACTGTTGGATCGCACAATACCACACTATGTTCGGAGTGCGCAAAACATAGCTATCGCACAGTTGTTCGCTAGTTGTCCTGGTTGATATATATTAAGGTACGGCTTGGGAATTAATACGGTTTTGGTATGCAAACTTATATCTTTCCTGATTTAAGCATGTTGCCGTATATTCAGCCATATTTAAATGGTTATCTATTGATCAAACAGAAACGGACACATCACGAACCAAAGTTGTTTTAAAAACGACCTTAATCGACACGTGTGTAGTTTGTTTACATTCTATTATATCCAAATCATTTATTAATAAGAAAAGAATGTATTGTTGCTTTGTCGATTTTCGTAAAGCATTTGATATGGTAAATAGAATAAATTTATGGAATAAGCTATCAAAACTTGGTATAAGAGGAAAGCTATTACAAGTTGTAAGGTCTATGTACTCTCATGTTAAATCTTGTGTTAAATTAGATGGAAAGTTGTCAGATTTTTTTCTTAACAGGGTTGGATTATTACAGGGTGAAATTCTGTCACCGATATTTTTTTCTATGTATATAAATGATTTTGAATCATATTTTATACAAAATTGCAAGGGTAGTTATGAGTTTGAGGAACTCAGTTTATATCTGATGCTATATGCTGATGATCTGGTATTATTCTCCGAGACTGTAGAAGGTCTCCAAGATATGCTTGATAATTTAGAAAAATATTGTACTGAATGGAATTTAACTGTAAATGCTGAAAAGACAAAAATTGTAGTTTTTAGAAAAGGTGGAAGATTGCATAATGAGGAAAAATGGTATTACAAAGGAAGTAAGGTTGAATGTGTGGATCAATTTCCTTACCTAGGTGTTATTTTAAATTACAACAATAAATTCACATCTATACAAAAACAATTAGCTAGCCAAGGACGAAAAGCTATGTTTGCATTATTTGCAAAGTGTTCATCATTAAACTTAAATGTAAAAACTATGCTCCATCTTTTCGATACATATGTAAGCAGTATCCTTTTCTATGCAAGTGAAATTTGGTGTATGCACAAAGCTCCAGAGATAGAACATGTACATTTACATTTTTGTAAGAAACTACTAAAAGTGAAGAAATCGGCCAATAACAACATGGTATATCTTGAATTGGGACGGTTACCTCTAGTTTGTATGAGAAAAATTAGAATGATAAAATATTGGTTTAAATTATTAAAATCTGAAAATTGTATTATATCAACTTCCTATAGGTTTTTATTACAATGTTGTAGTAGAAATGATTTCAACTGGGCTATAGCAGTAAGAGATGAATTAAACAATCTAGGTCTTAGTGATGTTTGGTTTAATCCATGCATCTCTCAGCAAAATCTGTTATTACCATTGATAAAACAAAGAATTTTTGATCAAGGCATACAATCCCTAAGGGCCACAGTGGAAAACTCTCCAAAATGTTTATTGTATAAACATATAATAGATTTTGGAGAAACATTACAATTTTACCTCACAAAATATATACCAAAGAAATATCGCATTTGTTTAACTCGAATACGTACATCTACCCATTCTTTAGCTATAGAAGTTGGAAGGTATAATAATATACCTAGAGAACGTAGATATTGTAAACAGTGTAACTCCCCCTCTGAATTAGAGGACGAATTTCATTTTTTATTGGTCTGTTCTAAATTCCAAAATCTCAGATCTCGTTTTATCAAAAGCTATTATTGGAAAAAACCATCTGTGTTTAAAGTCGTCCAGTTATTGAGTGTCCATAATATTAAAGAATTGTGTATACTAGGAAAATTCATATATGAGGCAAACAAATTAAGGGTATTATAATGGAATATGATTGTTTTCATCCTCTGTACATTGTCCATGATTTGTTTAAAAAAATGTTTTGTATACTGATGGGCCAATGGCCCAAAGTTTGAATAAAACTTGAACTTGTAGATATACGATCATACACATGTGTACTGTACACAGAGATAAAATGTACACAAAACAGCCTTACCTGTTACCATTTACCTGTTAACTACCAGGTCACGTAATGTTCAAATCATCGATGAACTCTAATCGGCGATCAACTCCCTTCATTTGTTTGTTTGTGTTTAACGGCCCAACGACAACTGTGGTCATTTAGGGTCATGGTTAAACAAACATGTGAGTAGCGAAATATGAAATCATATAAAATGGTTTATTTTAAAAAAGCATTCGCATGGTATGTGTAAATAATTAAAATAAAAAGGGGTTTAAATAATAAAAGAGATAATGAATAGATTATATGGAGTATGTTATATATATATAACGTCAAAGAGGGTAGGGTGAGTTAAAAGACACCAGACTCTATAGAATAGACCGATGTCTTTCAAATAGTTAAATAATGCCTTTGAGTCCACGGAAGTGAAAAATGTTTTCATATCCGGGGCTCAAAAGTAATTATCACGAATGTGTTTAAAATCAGAACATTCTATTTAAGAGTTTCTCTGTAAATGGAGTGTCACATGCGTGGCATGTAGGTTGATCTTCTCGTTTTAAAAGGTACGAACAACTCCGTGCAATTCACTACGTACGTCTATTAGTACTGTAGCTGACAGTACAACCGCAATTATGACAGTGCATGAAATGAGGAATAAGACATTCACCAATCCGATATCAAATACCTATACAATGTACCCTACTTCACTCGATCAGTCCGTAACATCAATCAACTGATCACCATATCGCACATACTTGTATTATATACGCGATTTTATAGCACAACGTGACGACCGATTATTAAATCGCACTGTTATATATAGCGCAACATGACAGACAGTGTGTGTACGATGTATGAGTTTTGGTGCATTTTGCGAGCACATTTCTGATTCACAAGAAATATTAGTCAAATTTCAACAAAGCTAATTTATTATATACAATATATCACGACCACATGCTCCTACATTCCGACGGGTGCAATCCGTTAGTAAACCGTGTAGCTATATAATGTTGAATGACCCGGAAATCATATCCAGATTTTAAATGTTCAGATTATGTAAAGGTGTTGTTTTTTAATTTAAATACTATCATCTATATTTAGATTGCAGCACCGTCACTTTAACAGTTACCGCCAAAATTATATGCATTATTTAAGGTATTGTGATTCTTTGATACGTATAGAAAGTCGAATCTGGTTCAATTCGAAATATTAGAATTTAACTGACGTTCTGAATTTTAAATATCATAATTATTGGTTAGTTTGAGACTGTTTTAATAGGCTATATTAAGTTAAATGTGTACGATAACAAAAACGGCATTAACGAGGTTCCAATATTAGCACTTTTTTGCCTTTTAAAAAATTGAGAATGTGTAGGTAGGCTTCCCAAACTGAAGCAAGACTACTTTGTTTCCAAGCAGTAAACATACTCGTTTTTGCTGACAAATATCAAGCTATTAACTGCTTTGTCGACACAACTAAATGCTTTATATAGTTGATACTATTAAGATCTCCAGTATATTGTATGGTTACATCGATAAGAAGAAGAAAAAGTGGATGTTGCTACTCTTTATCGAAACGCTGCATTTCAATATAGGCGTCTGATCCCAGTGCGGCTAAGATCGCGTGTATAGGAGTGACTACCGCGGTATAATGAGAAGTATGCCCGATCGCTAACCCTATACAGCGTAAAGACGTTCCATCCAACATAAACACTGCTGATCCAGAGTCACCTGGCTGGAAAAAGTTTACTCCTGATCTCTCTCCTCTAACTTCATACTGGTTTTTAATATGGACTTTCTCCGGCATTGAGGGTAGTCCTAAGGCAGTGTCCAGGGGCTTCACTTGTGCACCTTTCATTATCAAGTTACCTTTTGTCAGGTGGGTTTCACTTCCGAATTTGACAACCATCTGGCTTGTGCCCAAGCTTTTAATATCTAGTAACACAGCTCCGTTGTTGTATTCTGGTAACTCGTCAAATCCTGAAATAAAATAGCAAAAAGGTTATTCACAGACTAATTCCGATGTATTTAAATACGATTAAATATTGTAACATTTTTTCATTGTTTAATGTTTACAGTTTAGCAAGTACTATATATTAAGAACAATTTCTTATTAATTCATATATTACTGGTTTTTTTTCTAAAGATATACCCAACAACTAGCGAATACCTATTCATGGCCTAATCAACGTCAGTATTTTCGCGATAACATGAAAATGCGGGTATATACAACACAGCATTTGATTGACCAACATAAAACACCTTAAAACGAAAAGCCAGTGTTGTTGTTATTAAAAATGAAATTCATATTGTACAATACGAGTTCTCCATTCTAATTTTAGAAAAAAGTACAAAGATTGGACAAGATAATAAATCGTTCAATCGATGAATAGACCAAAAACCGAAGTGCACTCTTTAGGACCCTCGCAACTTAATGTGCCAATCACGATTGCAATCCCTACCTAAAATTTATTCCGGTAATTACAGTGCTCTGAATGATCTAATTGTGTAATTGTTGATAGATTTGATTTATAACATTAAACCAAGAGTATTAGAAAAGATTACTAGTTGATGTCGGATTTATATGGGTCAAAAGTCAGAGGGCGTTCCCGTCCCGCTTTATCGGTTAATCTCGTAATCTTCCGGTTGTCAAAAGCTGAAACCCATATTTGTCAGGTATTTAGCTATAAGCAATAGTTGTCACTAGTCTTATATCACAGTGTATCACCATATTTAACATGGAAAGATTATTCTTTTGGAATCCGAGATGATCTCCGGAAATGAAAGGGTGTGGATGGACGGACGATTTGTTGTCAGTCTGTGTATCTGTGTATTAGTGTGTTAGGGTTTCACGTTCTATCAACAACTATGGCCATTTAAGGACGTGCCTCCATGTCAGTTGTGTATGCGTACATGTGCGTATGTGTGCTAGAGATAGGGTATGTTGGTTCATTTGACTCCTTGAAATAGCACGGATCTGATGCTGACTTTATAGTTCTACCTCATTGAAACACAGTGACGAAAGCACACAGACCAACATTTCACCTGGTCACATTGTACTTGTAACGGTTGAACCAGTTGTTGCGATAACCCTAAAGTGATTTTATGTCAAGTAAGGCGCTTAGAAATAGAGAGAACTAAAGATATCCAAAGTACTGCAATAGGCGTAGCAGATTTAGATTGGTCGGTTTGGTGTCCCAAAACGAGGGCACAGAAACAAATCCAAATTTCTGCAGGGTGTTCACCCATTAGACGCCTCTTGCGATACATGCAGCAGGTAACAACAAGTGTACTCTTTTCTCGATCCCCGAACTGCAGGGGTGACAAACATATAATTTGTGATTTTAAAGTGAAGATCTATCTATGATTTCATCATTTTCACAGCAATAACAGTTAATGATCGACAGAATCTCGCACAAACGGTATAATGAATTCCAGGATTAGTAGTCGTTTGATGGAATTAACTAAAGATGATACATTTGACCTTTAATTTAATTTCATTATTGATATTCATTCGACACACTGCTTTTCTGAACAATTAACTTATATTTATGACAGGTTTTGGATTAAACTGGTCGTATTTGGATACACTCACATATCGTACTATACGGAGCTCGTGAAAAGAATTAAGCCAACATCTACGTTTAGTAATCAGTGATCTCGGTTTTGTAATCGAAATTTTTATACGTGTTCAACATACTCTTCACTGTTGGCTGTTGTCTTCACTTTGTAAAAGTAGATGAGTAACCGAGGTTAGTTTAACAAGATTACGAATTAGTTAATGGAGGTCATGGGTCATTAAATCGAGGTCCAAGCTTAGTTAATCATGGTCACAGATATGTAAGCTGAGGTCACAGATTAGTTAACCGGTATCATGGATATTAAGTTAATTTGTTTTAGCATTTTGGTATCAGTGAGGACAGTTATTTTATATTTTCACTGCTTGAACACGTTAGTGGTTGTTTTTTTTAGTAATTTACGTAATTATGTATATGAAGCGCTTGAAGACGGAATGTATATATATTTAGAACTTTTGGACTATTCTTATTATTGTGCTATTTGTATTTTAACTAAACGGAATATTTCCTACAATGGTCATTCGATCATACTTCCATCAACTTGCAATTTTTCTGCGCCAGATGATTGCCGTGTGAATTTTAGGTTTTAAAAGACATAGTAAGCATATTCAGTACTATTAAATCTTATTGTATTTAAATGTATATTGAAGAAAGCATCTGATGAAGAAAGCATGAGCTCAAAGCCACAGTTCCAATACAAATGTGCCTACCTGCTTCTATGTACTTGGAACTGTGATCATTAGCGAATCTCCCTTTAATGGGTCGTCTTGTTTCATCTGATATGGCCACCACGGCAACATCAATGCTGGTATCCAAATATGGGTTGAAAATAGCCCTCTGTACAATTCCACAAGAGTCACCACTTGGAGAGGACGCACCTGTAGCGGGTTGCACGACGTCAAGACGATTGAGTCCATTATAGGTGAAGTTAACATAGTATTGTGGAGTAATATCAAACAGCACATGGGCGCATGTCAGAAAACTCATTGTACCGTTGTACTGCACAAAAGGACCAAGTGTTCCTCCAAATTTTTGTTCCTGTGATGTCAGCGCACCTATATTACATCCCATTTTGAGCTCATCATGGTGATTCATGCTTGTTCTTGTCTCATATCCACCATATTCAAAATATCCTTCGCGAACATCAATGTCAATGTAATCATCTTCTCCCAAGGCCAATCTTCTGGGAAATTCTCTTTCTCCCAGTGGTACAACTCCTTTTGTACTACAGTACAGCACAACACAGAGACACTTCTCCAATATTGCTCCCTTCAGTTTAGAGCGCACGGAGCAAACACTGATGATATTGAGGTTGCTGTGATGACACCACAGTGTCTGGCTGTGTAATTCAATGGCTTTTTTTAGCCCTTTCCATGTCCTGTTTGGAAATACCACCGTCTACTTCCTTGCTGTTTGACACGGTCATGGCTTCATCATCAACCCTGTAAGGGTTTCTTATCATCACCAATCCTATCCCGTCTCTTTTGTGATTGGTCGCGTGCACCACCTTTGGGGAATAAACAATAAATACTCTGGTCCATGTACCGTTTTCCTCTTTCTGATGACCAGGTACCACAGCAGGTTTCAATTTGCAATGTTCGCTTTTCAGGCGTTTTCCAACTTCTGCCATGTAGACGCTTTCCATTGAGTTACTGAGTTGGATGTTATTCATACAGTAGGCAATGTTCTGTTCATCCGAATACTGAATCAGGGACCCCACAGCCACTTGTTTCTTCAGAACTGTTGCAACATACAACGGTGTAGCGTTTCTGTCTTTCATTCCGTCCAATAAACCTTCAAATACTCCCACTGGGATTTCTAGTTGAGCATTCCAGTTAAATGTCGCTGAACTCCAACTTTGTACATGCTCAAACAGTTTGCTCTGGAACTCCAGTACATCCACAATATTTCCTTCTTGGAAAGCTTGGTTGAACTTGGCAACACCTATAATGTATGTATATGAACCTTTCAACATTATCGTTACACAATATAAAGATGTTCTAAAATAATTGCTACTGAATCATTGCATGAAACTTTAAAGGATGTAATAATAACTTAAATAAGATTACCTAAAAACAACATCCCTGATATACTATTGTAGGACACATATAAGCATTACCCCCATGTGTTCCGGCTTTAATGTGTCATTGTATTGACGGTCTGCAACACGATCAATTGGTGTTAGGACCGTAAAGAGGTCCAATAATAAACAAAATGGAGTAAAAAATATATTGGCTAGCCTGTTCGGGTCTGCTTTCCATGTCCAGTAGTGCACGTTTTAGGCTAGCCTGACCCTTACACAGAAAACAGGACCATTATGAGTTGAAAATAATGTCATAAACTTCTTTGGTCGGTTAAAGACACTTACCAAAGAGACAATGGTTAATCATTTTTGCAAGAAAAGGGGGATGTATTTTATTATCCTAAATGGCTTGATATTAAATCGCATTTTCAGATATATCACAAAAAAAATCCTTTACTCACACACACACACCCGTACACATGAAATAAAAATCTTAAAAAGTTTGGAACATTAATCTGATTGAAATATAAATTATGTCACTGTTACCCTCGGTGTCAGCACAGGCCAGTTCTGGTAAAAGGCTCACGCTTGCTCCTCCTTCTCCATAGGTGTTTGACGTCGATTGAACATTTTCTGTTGTATGTCCTATTTCCTTTTCAACCTCGTCACTCTGCAATATGCCCATGTATATGATAATATATGTACGTTTGCACCGCTGCGTCACTATATCAACCTATTACCTGTAACTTTCGTTCCGGGTCATTAGACTATGAACTAGACAGAGTAAAAGGAACGTGACCAAAGAGTAAAATAAAAACGGAAGTCATCGCATTTACTCTTGATTGATTTTTTAACAATAGCTGTAAATGCAACCATGAATTCATATCAATACGATTTATTTCTATAAAAAAAATCGATAATTTATCACTTTTGGGCGGAATGAAATGCTATTTTCATATGTCACAATATTTCTTGTCTTCGACCACACTACAGATCAATGCTGTTAGTACAGAAACAAGCTCTCACTTCCTTAATGCCCGGCACGTTAGTTTCCTACTTCTTTTAAAATGAAATATCGCTATCTGTGTCGACCAGCAATATCAAGCTGACCTCTAGTTCCTTTGCCGCCTCACCATTCACCATTTTTATTTTCGAACTTGTTATGTAATGTTTTAAATGTTAAATGTTCTTTTATGACCGTAACAACTAAAATTTGACAAAGTGAGAATGAATTTATAAAACATGATTTAAAGTTATGCAAAGAAAAATGCACTTGGTTGGGGATACATTCCATGAATTGAGGTAAGATTCAAAAACAAAATTGATGTTATTATTTTTTGATTGGCAGAAAGACTTCAAAGTGTAATTGTAAGTACTGAATTGCCTTCATATGCACCATTAATGTTCACCGCATTACAGAAAATACAACACGACCCAATAACGGGATTCATGTCGTTGTCATGTGATACAATAGGTCTGATTCGAATGAACCGTGATCTGAAAGCAGTTTAATACATTAATAATTTCGTAGAACTTCTGCTATTTTGTTTTTAAACACAATCATACAAATGACGTTATTACAACTCTGACATTCATAGACATCCCTCTTTATGATGCGTAATGTTTCAAAAATAAAATTAGTAAGAAGACACGTATATTGGAAACGCAAATATACAAGCGTAACTGTTTTTAACATATTCTACTTGAACGCAGCGTTACTGATATATAACGTGATAATTCTGCCGTAATAATGAAATAATTCGGTCATTTTTTTATTCTTAATGTTGTGCATGTGACTCGGTTGTAGAGGACATTTGTAATTATTTCATGGACTGTAATGTACTTATGTATATGGAAAATGTGATTTAACAACAAAGGAGAGAGCGTGTGAGAGAGAGAGAGAGAGAGAGAGAGAGAGAGAGAGAGAGAGAGACAGAGAGAGACAGAGAGACAGACAGACAGACACAGACAGACAGACAGACACAAATACAGAGAGTAAGAACCTACATATTTAAGTATGAAGTGTCGTTAGGATACGTTGTAACACGGCCTTCTCCCACAACCACTGTAGGTTTCATCACCCATGACACAATGGATAAACCTGCTAAGAATTGGTAATTATATTTCGTTACCCATTAGTGGTAACACACTGTAAGTGATTTCATTGATCAATCTTTGATTGATGGCGTCACGTGACAATGCTTTCGATGTCATTTTCCATTGTGACGTCATGCTTCGTGGCAATTGTTTCCCCCATCGGAAACCTACATGATGTATCTTCCAAGGGAAAAATGTTTTTTTCAGATAAAGTACGAACGTTATGGTAGAAACAGGTCCCCAAACTCTTGATGATTAGTTACCACGTTTATGTAACTCTTGATAGTTAAGTTTCAAATTGTAAAAGACACTTGGTTAAACTCGTTTCTTTATACAATTTCAATATTAATTAACTCGAACTAGATAAACATGATAACCAAACACCACTCGTTGGGGAACCTCTATTTTCCCAATGCCTGACACAACATTATCTGACTAGTGACTACGATTCTCATTTAACATTATTTTAAAAGCAAGTTCACAAGTGTCAAAACTTAAGAATGTCTTAGGCAGTTTATTTTATAAACAAGTGAGAACGCTTGATAGGAGAATAAAAACTATTATCAATTATATATTACTTTTCTAATTTGTTGCATATCAAAACGAAAATATATGCTACCCTTACATTCGGTTTGAACCCAGCGCCACTTTAACCTAAATTTTGACGTTAATTAAATCAATGTAAAGCACCAAAAATCATTTTTTTTATACTAGGTTACTTTGTACCGATATTATTGTCTTTTGTGGCGTCTTTGTATTTCTGTGTAGTGTGATCAGTTAGATATATACGCGTTCAATGTATTTTAAGTGAATATCAGATTATAGGAGGCCGAAAGTAGATTCATCTGCAAGAATTAAGAAACCACAACAAATTTCCTATTTGCTGTTTGTAGACTACTCAAATGATTACACATATTTTGTAACCCATTTAGTTAGGTTTCGTGAATGCTTTACGGCATTTATGATTTGGTTGGCTTTTTCGGCGCGAAAGGCCCGTCGTGAACGTGCAATTTAGACTGAATGACCAATAGTTCCATGGTTTAGATATTAAGGGCCACATGCTTGTTGAAATAAATTTCCAAATTTTGTTAAAAAGTTCAAACGACACTATCTGAATAAGAAACAGCCTAGATTGATGATGTATATCCTTTGCTACTGTCAGACTGACAAACTCTAATTCATCTTTATGGTAAGGTCAGCTAAACATATGGATTGAATCTAGAATTTCCAATCATTTATGAAAGTATGAACAGGAAAAAATGTACTTTTATACCACATGAGCGGTCGTAAAGAAGCAAGGTCTGTTCAAGTAAATTTTTGCAAGTTCATACTTTTATTAAAGTTGGACAACCCAGATTCAATCCATATGTGAAGTTTGCATGGTCTTAATAAAAAGTCCAGGCAATATATTAAGTCTGGAAAATAAATCACGTTTAATATGGCAAGATTTGTGGTAAACATTATATTGTCGTTTGTAGATCAAACATCTCATTATTTTTAGTCGTCTCTTGGTTCACGCAAATCAAAAATTGACAGACATAGTGAATTAAATTACTTGAGTAGCATTTTGAATACGAGACCTTAGTCATGGCAGGCATTAACACCTGTTTGATAAGGATAAGCTCTTTTGTTTAACAGTAATTCAACAAGGTCAGTACGTCTTCATGCAGAGTAGGCATCGTATCAGTAAATGAAATGAGCTTAACTCTGACACTGCCGAAACTTTTACACAGCCTGTACACGAATAGAGTTAAGATACAGCCTAATCTTTTGGTTATACACAAACGATGTATATATTACACGTGTTTTAACGTTTCAGGTCCGACATGTATCTTTGTTGATTTTGACAACAATGTTTTATTTTGCTTTGCTTTTTGACACTTTGTTGCTTCATGTGAAACAGTATAGACAATATGGCAAGACAAGTTAATTTAAAAGTTAAGGTCAAAGATCAAAGCATATATCACATTGATCTACTTTTCATGGTCTGCCTTCCGCTATTCAGATTTGTACTTACATACCAAATCTGGTTACCCCAGGTGAAATAGTGCAGATGATATGCCCAATCAATGGTCAAAACATATATAACAGTGACCCTTACTCAAGGTGAAAGACTATAGACAATATGCCATAAACAATCTCTTCTGATGGACGGACGGTCAGATGGTGTGCTTACCTATAGTCCTCGGGTAACTTACGGGGAACTGACAAATATGTGTCTTACAATCTTCTTCTCTACACACATTCCATGTAGAGATATCTACCTGACGCCATAGATATAATTTACGAACTTCACACCAAAAAAAACTTGATTCCGGATAAAAGGATATTAAATAGCTCACCTTATTGTGATTAGCTCCTTCAAAACGTTTCCTCACAGGTTTGATGTAGCCGTTTAATGCTGCCCCACTCGAAGCTTCGGACTGGACAAACATTTACATCATATCAGTACACACCATGAGTTTATAGAAATATGCTTTTGCCATTACCGAATCAACAACATTGCTTTGTAATTAACAAAAGTAAGTGTTTTGTTAGCCTTATTTCAAACCTGCATTTGCGTGAATGACTCGTTGTGTAATGAATATATACTTTCTGTTTTGCGTATTTAAGTAGTCTAATAATTTACTACTATACATTTGCGTTATAAGTTACAGCGCTTTAGTTTCTGAATTTAGTAGGAACCGTATTTGATGTTTGTTGTATTTTGATTATCTTGTGGACTTTAATATTTGTTTATACAGATTACAACTGAATGTATGAAAGACTTCCTGAACGAATAAGTTTTAAGTAATAATAATAGTCGGACCTGAACTCCTTGTCTTACGTCCTGTAATGTCGGGACTATTTTTTGCCGACAGCTAAATTTCACCAGGTCGACGGGAGCGGGAGGGTAAGTTGGGTAATTGGTCTGTTATCCCAACCTACATGGACCGAAAGTTGAACACCAAGTTACACAGGTCATAGGCATGCTAATTGTTTACATACCATTATTATTGATGAAGATGAGGGTAATCTAAGGCTTGTTTGCTATCCTCTACACAACCCTCCGTTGCAAGTGGTGTAGCAGGTCAAATCACCTAGACCCGTTGGGCAGTCCCATCAACGGTAATAGTAACACATGCTCCAAAATTGAGTAAGTCCCGTTATCATAGTTGGTAGACAGGAATTCATTCAACAGCAACGTTTAAGTTATCATCTGGTATCTTGGTAATTTCCACATTTCGTTGACATTACTACCGGCTCGTTGCCTTACCTTAACCGCTGACGTTACGACTGGCTCGTGACCTTACCTTAACCGCTGACGTTACGACTGGTTCTTGGCCTTACCTTAACCGCAGACGGTACGACCGGCTCGTGGCCTTACCTTAACCGCTGACGTTACGACTGGCTCGTGGCCTTACCTTAACCGCTGATGTTACGACTAGCTCGACTAGCTCGTGGCCTTACCTTAACCGCTGGCGTTACGACTGGCTCATGACGCTACCTTAGCTCGTGTCCTAACCTAAGCGTCTGCAGAACATTTGTTTATCGGTCAGGTACCTGCCCAAACCCGTAATAGGCTTCCGACTTTTTGTAAATGAAATATCTTTTAGATTTTTGTTTTGTTTAAGGTAAATATCTACTGTTTGTTTATGGAAAATGTATGCATTGTTAACATTCTGGGATGTAAATTAAAGGATCAAATATATATCGAGTGTAGCTTTATTTATCCATTGCGCAAATGTGTATTTCGTTGCCATTGACAACACACCATCTTTCCCGAAAAAAATACTGTTCTCCTACTGTTAGTGTTGCTTGCAGGACGATACATTTCTTCTCTGTCTTGAAAACACATTTAATCATAATATCAAATATTAATAGTGGTTGAAGTTGAACGTAAGCATAAGGTTTTACATGTATTTAAAAGACAAAACAACATTTTTGAGGTGAAGTTCATCACTGATTATATTTGAACGGAATTAAGTTGCATACCCTCATAAACGTTAGAAAGATGCATTGTATTTGCTTGTGTAAGTCTTCACCTCTGCTCTCCGTTGTAGGTCAATCTCAAAATGAAAACTTATAACTTAGCAAATATAGATTTCAAAGCTATAAATAAACAAATATGACCTTAAAGAAAGACATGATTATTATTATCGTGTCAACGATATCTTTTTGTAAGACTTTTTTTACGATTCAAAAACTAACATGAAGGAGATAAAAAGTTGTACAAACGAGTAAAACAATAATACATTGTATCAACGATTGGAAAAAAGTCATATGAACGAGAGGAAAAAAGTCTTACAATAGAAACGGAACAAAAACGTCATAAGATCCAGATAAAAAGTTGTGTGCACAAGATAAATTGAAACAATAACGAGATAAATAGTCGTACAAACGAAATAAAAGCCTAGAAAGGGGAAGTTGGAGCCACTCAATAAGTTGTAAAACGTAAATGTAAAATAAAGTTGTGGACGCAAATGACAATTATAAACTGTTAATTGATCTTCATTTAAATACTGCTGTCTCTAAATCTTTATAATGCTGCTATGTCTCTAAATCTTTATAGTACTGGTATGTCTCTAAATCTTTTAAATACTACTATGTCTCTGAATCTTTATAATACTGCTATGTCTCTGAATCTTAATAATACTGCTATGTCTCTAAATCTTTATAGTACTGATATGTCTCTAAATCATTCAAATACAACTATGTCTCTAAATCTTTATAAAACTGCTATGTCTCTGAATCTTTATAATACTGCTATGTCTCTAAATCTATATAATACTGATATATCTCTGAATATTTATAATACTGCTGTCTCTAAATCTTTATAATGCTGCTATGTCTCTAAATCTTTATAGCACTGGTATGTCTCTGAATCTTTCAAATACTACTATGTCTCTGAATCTTTATAATACTGCTATGTCTCTAAATCATTATAATGCGGCTATGTCTCTAAATCTATATGATACTGCTGTCTATAAATCTTTATAAAACTGCTATGTCTCTGAATCTTTATAATACTGCTGTCTCTAAATCTTTATAATGCTGCTATGTCTCTAAATCTTTATAGTACTGGTATGTCTCTAAATCTTTCAAATACTACTATGTCTCTGAATCTTTATAATACGGTTATGTCTCTAAATCTATATAATATTGCTCTATCTCTAAATCTTTATAATACTGCTATGTCTCTAAATCTATATATTACTGATCTGTCTCTAAATCTTTATAATACTGATGTGTCTCTAAATCATTATAATACTGCTGTCTCTAAATCTTTATAATACTGATATGTACCTAAATCTTTATAATGCTGCTATGTCTCTAAATCTTTATAGTACTGGTATGTCTCAAAATCTTTCAAATACTACAATGTCTCTGAATCTTTATAATACTGCTATGTCTCTAAATCATTATAATGCTGCTATGTATATAAATCTTTATAATACTGATATGTCTCTAAATCTTTATAATACTGATGTGTCTCTAAATCATTATAATACTGCTGTCTTTAAATCTTTATAATACTGATATGTATCTAAATCTTTATAATACTGCTATGTCTCTAAATATTTATAATACTGCTATGTCTCCAAATCTATATGATACTGCTGTCTCTAAATCTTTATAATACTGCTGTCTTTAAATCTTTATGATACTGCTCTCTCTAAATCTTTATAACACTGCTATGTCTCTAAATCTATATAATACTGATCTGTCTCTAAATCTTTATAATACTGATATGTCTCTAAATCTTAATAATACTGGTATGTCTCTAAATCTTTCAAATACTACTATGTCTCTGAATCTTTATAATACTGCTATGTCTCTAAATCTATATAATACTGCTATGTCTCTAAATCTATATAATACTGATCTGTCTCTAAATCTTTATAATACTGATGTGTCTCTAAATCATTATAATACTGCTGTCTCTAAATCTTTATAATACTGATATGTCTCTAAATATTTATAATATTGCTATGTCTCTAAATCTATATGATACTGCTGTCTCTAAATCTTTATAATACTGCTGTCTTTAAATCTTTATGATACTGCTGTCTCTAAATCTTTATAACACTGCTATGTCTCTAAATCTATATAATACTGATTTGTCTCTAAATCTTTATAATATTGACGTGTCTCTTAATCATTATAATACTGCTGTCTCTAAATCTTTATAATACTGGTATGTCTCTAAATCTTAATAATACTGCTATGTCTCTAAATATTTATAATACTGCTATGTCTCTAAATCTATATAATACTGATCTGTCTCTAAATCATTATAATACTGATGTGTCTCTAAATCATTATAATACTGCTATGTCTCTAAATCTTTATAACACTGCTATGTCTCTAAATCTTTATAATACTGATCTGTCTCTAAATCTTTATAATACTACTGTCTTTAAATCTTTATAACACTGATATATTTATAAATCTCTATAACACTGCTATGTCTCTTAATATGAATAATACTGCTATGTCTCTAAATCTATATAATACTGCTATGTCTCTAAATCTCTATAACACTGCTATGTCTCTAAATCTATATAACACTGCTATGTCTCTAAATCTATATAACACTGCTATGTCTCTAAATCTATATAACACTGCTATGTCTCTAAATCTATATAACACTGCTATGTCTCTAATCTTTATAACACTGCTATGTCTCTAAATCATTATAATGCTGCCATGTCTCTAAATGTTTATAATTCTACTATGTCTCTAAATCTTACCGTTGCTTCTATATGCAAGTGATCCATGCTTTCACGTGTGAATGATGCTGACTACAAACGGGTGTAATTTTTTTACATCGTTGACTGCTATTGTCAGGACTACATATATGGATTCCTGAAAAGCACAGAAAACAAAACAAAAGTAAGTTAAATCAGCAGGAAAATTATTAATATCAAATATAAACTTGATGAATATTCGAAAATTAATCATATAATTAAAATTAATTCGACAACAGTTTCAGGAGTACATTTTACGAGTTAATGTAATAAAAAAAAAAGTTGATACTCCATAACGTTAATCCAAATACTACCTGTCATACTTTTGAATTAGTAATATTTCCTTAAATTTTAATCAAAACAAAAAGTGTACAATTTTTGTTTCAATAATGAAATCTATTTCGTTAGTTAATTTAAAATACTTGAGGAATGGATGAACGAGCTCAACAGGTTGTAAAGCGCACCACCATATTAAAGTTACATAATACAATAAAAGAAATGAAGTCTTCTATATCATCTTACACCCATTCAATTTGAAAATGCCAAGGGGGGTGGGGTTGGGGGTGGGGGGTGTCAATATAAGATAGTTAACTAAACATATATAATGACTTACCTTATGTCGTGACTCGTAATGCTTACACGGTATAAAACATGTCGTACAGTAACTGCGGCAATTCACAAAACAGTTGCCTTTTATCTGTCATATCGATTACGTTACTCATCGAGACTGAGGGAGAGTTCCATTCTCTCTAAGCAATTGTTATCAGTGGCAATACTTCATGCATATAGACACGACTAGTTTTCCGATACAAGGTACATGACATATCTGATAAATTTCATTTCAAATATATTTTATTGATTAAACAAAAGGATTGGGCAACAGGCTTTGCCTATATAAGCTCTCTCCATGGCTTCCAGCATACTTTTGATATTTGAAGACATTGAATACAATATTTACATACGTACATTTTATTTCAACTCATCTCATGACACATGGATACATTTATTGCTAGGAATATACATTTAATTAGGCTGGCTTAATATTTTCATGTTTCTACAGAAAAAAAAATCCTTGGAGAAAAACAAAACAAACTTTGCGATATTAATATTTAATATAGTTGTAAAATTTGTGTCAAGAAGAATTAAATATACCGTTATGAATATACACAGTATTCAAATCGAATTAAATATATGGATATACGTCTTGACCTTGAGCAACTTAAATTTGCTACGGCAACATGAAATAAAGCAAAACTGATACATGCATGTATGCTGATAAAGAATGTACCAGGACTTATTTGAAGTAGACATGTATTGAGATGAGTTGGAAAATCAAATAGAAAATTAACTAAAAGAAAACAGAAAAATATAAATATAAAAAAATAAATATAAAAATAAAAATATGAAAACAAAAAAAGACATAAATAATTATATAAGAACACAAAATAATCTCAATAACTCACTCATACACTCAAACACCACATTTGTATCTACAGGCATGGGTTTGTTGGTTTATTTAATGTAGTTTATATTTGTTTTAAATGAATGTGCAGTTGGGCATTAAATATGATAACAAAGTACACTAGTTCACAGGATACAAATATGTGGCATTTTGGTATTTCATAATAAATTATTAGTTTTTCAGTAATTAAATGATTATAACTATTGATTTACATTACTCCATCATACCTTAAGTGTCATGACCACATAAAGTCCCTGGACATTTGTTGCCCTGTGATCAATCAACCTTGGTATATTATATGTAAATATATATATTCATTATCCACTATCAACAGAAATAATGAATTTATCTTACAGAATACAAAGAATACACCAACCACATACAGCTTGTATATTTATCTATTTAAACCGTCCTGTAGCATTAATGTATTTATGCACACACTCCATCAATTGATGTTTCCATTTAGAATAGTACTTAAAGGTATTGTATTATGGAAATCTTCATCATTTAATATAAGATCCTGCATACAAGTTTGTCGTTCTTCTGTATAGAGAGGACATTAAAAAAAAGTAATGATAAGAGTTTTCAATTGCATGACTACAAGGACAGTTTGGACTATTTTTCAAGTGATCTTTGAACAGATCATAGTTTAGTTGACTAGCACCATTTCTTAATTGACACATTAATATATTACTGTTTCGTGAACCAGAGTATTTAAATACAGGTGTACATACATTTTGTTCTGTGTCTCTGATCATCTGGTCATCTGATAAATGCAGTCATAACAACAAAGGGTTCAATAAAAAGAAGGCTAATGCACATGCATCAGTAGTGTAAATGACGCCATACACACAATATTCATCTGAACCAACCCTGTGTAAGTCATACACACTATATATCTGAACCAAACCCAGTGTAAGTCATACACACTATATATCTCTGACCAAACCCTGTGTAAGCCATACACACTATATACATCTGACCAAACCCTGTGTAAGTCATACACACTATATACATCTTAACCAAACCCTGCGTACGTCATACACACTATATATATCTTAACCAAACCCTGTGTTGGTCATACACACTATATACATCTGACCAAACCCTGTGTAGGTCATACATACTATATACATCTGACCAAACCCTGTGTAAGTCATACACACTATGTACATCTGACCAAACCCTGTGTACGTCATACAAACTATATATATCTGACCAAACCCTGTGTATGTCATGCACACAATATACACTTGAACCAACCCTGTGTAAGTCATACACACTATCTACATCTGAATCAACCCTGTGTAAGTCATACACACTATATACATCTGACCAACCCTGTGTAAGTCATACACACTATAAACATCTGACCAACCCTGTGTAAGTCATACATACTATATACATCTGACCAAACCCTGTGTAAGTCATACACACTATGTACATCTGACGAAACCCTGTGTAAGTCATACACACTATATACATCTGACCAAACCCTGTGTACGTCATACAAACTATATATATCTGACCAAACCCTGTGTAAGTCATACACACTATATACGTCTGACCAAATCCTGTGTAAGTCATACACACTATATACGTCTGACCAAACCCTGTGTAAACTATACACACTATCTTCATCTTACCAAACCCTGTATAAGCCATACACACGATAATAATTTGAACCAAACCCTGTGTAAGTCATACACATTATATACATCTGAACCAAACCCTGTGTAAGCCATACACGCTACCCATATTTAAACCAAACCATGTGTAAGCCATACACACTGTTTACATCTTAACCAATTAAGAATTACAATACAGCTCTACGATGAAGTGTAATGCTTATCTGGCCTTTTGCGTCTATTTTCAATCGCGAAAATGCAGTCACGTTTTTGTTATGTTCATTTTTAAATGATATTACAAAATAATCTAAAATTTGTCACCAGCCGTAATGCACTATTTAGGTAAAATTGTAATAATCAACCTACATCAAGTAAATACAATGTACAGATTGTCAAATGATATATAATATTCTATATTTAGACGTTACTCTCGTTACTATTTAAGGAAACTGATGACACAATCAATAAAGTAAATCCTATTATCAGTATCGATATCAGTAACAAACGGCTTGTTGTTGTTTATTTAAAGCCAATGTCTTGCGTGGCGACCGCGCTATTGATATCGAATCTATTTTTTTTTATATATGTATGATCTTTATTGAATAACTGAGGAGGCTAACACAGATACCTGTACAAGCTTAACAAATCAAAAACGGAGAAGTGTACATGTGTTAAAGTGCCGTGACACATTGAAAAAGGTCCCAAGTGTTGGTTAAATGCTCAACCCCCCCCCCCCCATTTTCCAAAGTCTATTTCAGACAAAATGCAGCTTTTTACCACTACTGTATCTAATAATTCTTTCAAACTTTCAAATAGGCACTTCGTACTCTTTTTTAGATACCTTGATTTTGTCTAGTCTTTTAGCAAGCGTACATATAGCTATGAAAATATTGATATTCAGAGCTGAAATCCCATCTTTGCTGTAGAGGATAAAAGTTTACTTTGATAGATCGGGATATAGACAAAGTCAGAGTACTGGCCAGAGTAAGTGTACTTGAGTATATAGTAAGACCTCGAACACAGAGGGTACCTCTAACAAACATGTCCCCACTTCCATCAATTTTGAAATCGTATTGCGTCTCTAGCGAAGCTCAGAAAATATTCGCAGAGTTTCCTTAATTGTGAATTGATTGATGATAGATGCATAAACGTTGGTTTTCAATTCAATTCTATTTAATTTGTTGTAAAATAAATGTATTAGATCTGGCAGCTGTCATGTAAGTGTATCTTCATAACTACTTTTACCAATAGCATGTGTGTCTGTACCCTGAATAAAAAGTAAAACTTTCAATCTATGGAAATGAGTGCGATTTTATATGTTGTTCCACTCTCACTGCTTATGCAGATATTTAGTTATTTCCCAATACATTTTATACATTCATAACGTCAAACCATTTATACTATATATTTATGGATCTGATTATTTCTTTTACATTTGTATCCTCTTTTTTCTATTTTAAATATAATGTTGTCCTTTAGAGGTATTTAGCAGTAAGCTTGTTTTGGTCATGTGGTTAAAAATAAACACCCTTGGATCCTTAATGTAAAACAAGATCGTTCGATAAAGAAAGTTCATATCTTCTAAAGGACTATGACATCAGCAATAAGTTACAATGTACAAGTTAAACACTGCAACCGTATTTACATATAGCGAAAACCCGCCGATAAAGACAGCAGGCAAAAGAAGAGAAAAGATTCGATGAAATGTATTTGTTGAATAAATAAATAAGTAAAAACATTCCTTTTTCTTACCTCCATTTATTACTGAAACGTTCGTTCCATCCATGTATAGGTATCTTTAGTTACATCCGAAATCAAATGAAACATTTCACATGTGTCGTATGCATTTTGCACAAAACTCTTCACAGATCTAAACAATTAATCACCGATTTTGTCGTTACGCACAGGTTGGAATGCATAGTGACATGGAAATGTAAGAATTTGGTCAATGTTAATCCAGACTATGACATCAGCAATAGGTACAAGTTAAACCATGTTTACATACAGTGTTAAAATTAAATTATGACTAACCTATGTCTAAGATACGTTTATCTGCGCATTACCTGTTCACCTTGTGAGGAAAACAATGTATTTGATGTATTCAAAGTGATATACAAGATGAATACCATTTTATGATTATACAAATGTATATATTTACAATCCTCAATGACATTCACTCACTAACATTTGAGTCATACACACTATATACCTCTGAACCAAACCCTGTGTAAGCCATACACACTATATACATCTGAACCAAACCCTGTGTAAGCCATACACATTATATATATCTGAACAAACCCTGTGTAAGCCATACACACTATATACATCTGAACCAAACCCTGTGTAAGCCATACACACTATATATATCTGAACCAAACCCTGTGTAAGTCATACACACTATATACATCTGAACCAAACCCTGTGTAGGTCATACACACTATATACATCTGAACCAAAATCTGTGTAAGCCATACACACTATGTACATCTGACCATTCCTCTGTAAGTCATACACACTATATACATCTGAACCAAACCCTGTGTAAGCCATACACCCTATATACATCTGACCAAAACCCTGTGTAAGCCATCCAAACTATATACATCTGAACCAAAATCTCTGTAAGCCATACACACTATAAACATCTGAACCAAACCCTGTAAAAGCCATACACACTTGTGTAAGTCATACACACTATATATATCTGAACTAAACCCTGTGTAGGTCATACACACGATATACATCTGAACCAAAATCTGTGGAAGCCATACACACTATGTACATGTGACCATTCCTCTGTAAGTCATACACACTATAAAAGTCTGACCAAACCCTGTGTAAGCCGTACACACTATACACATCTGAACCAAACCCTGTGTAAGTCATACACGTTATATATATCTGAACCAAACCCTGTGTAAGCCATACACACTATATACATCTAAACCAAACACTGTGTAAGCCATACACACTATATACATCTGAACCAAACCCTGTGTAAGCCATACACACTATATACATCTGAACCAAACCCTGTGTAAGCCATACACACTATACACATCTGAACCAAACCCTGTGTAAGTCATACACATTATATATATATGAACCAAACCCTGTGTAAGTCATACACACTATATATATCTGAACCAAACCCTGTGTAAGTCATACACACTATATATATCTGACCAAACCCTGTGTAAGCCACACACACTATATATATCTGAACCAAACCCTGTGTAAGTCTTACACACTATATACATCTGAACCAAACCCTGTGTAAGTCATACACGCTATATATATCTGACCAAACTCTGTGTAAGCCACACACACTATATATATCTGAACCAAACCCTGTGTAAGTCTTACACACTATATACATCTGAACCAAACCCTGTGTAAGTGATACACACTATATATATCTGACCAAACTCTGTGTAAGCCACACACACTAAATATATCTGAACCAAACCCTGTGTAAGCCATACACATTATATACATCTGAACCAAACCCTGTGTAAGCCACACACACTATATATATCTGAACCAAACCCTGTGTAAGCCATACACACTACCCATATTTAAACCAAACTATACATCTGAACCAAACCCTGTGTAAGCCATACACACTATATACATCTGACCCAAACCCTGTGTAAGCCATACACACTATATACATCTAAACCAAACACTGTGTAAGCCATACACACTATATACATCTGAACCAAACCCTATGTAAGCCATACACACTATACACATCTGAACCAATCCCTGTGTAAGTCATACACATTATATATATATGAACCAAACCCTGTGTAAGCCATACACACTATATACATCTAAACCAAACACTGTGTAAGCCATACACACTATATACATCTGAACCAACCCCTGTGTAAGCCATACACACTATATACATCTGACCCAAACCCTGTGTAAGCCATACACACTATATACATCTAAACCAAACACTGTGTAAGCCATACACACTATATACATCTGAACCAACCCCTGTGTAAGCCATACACACTATATACATCTGAACCAAACCGTGTTTAAGTCATACACACTATATACATCTGAACCAAACCCTATGTAAGCCATACACACTATACACATCTGAACCAAACCCTGTGTAAGTCATACACGCTATATATATCTGACCAAACTCTGTGTAAGCCACACACACTATATATATCTGAACCAAACCCTGTGTAAGCCATACAGACTATATATATCAGAACCAACCCTGTGTAGGTCATACACACTATATAAATCAGAACCAAACCCTGTGTATGTCATACACACTTTATATATCAGAACCAACCCTGTTTAAGTCGTACACACTATAAACATCTGAACCAAACCCTGTAAAAGCCATACACACTATATACATCTGACCAAACCATGTGTAAGTCATACACACTATATACATCTGAACCAAACCCTGTATAAGTCATACACACTATATACGTCTGACCAAACCCTGTGTAAGTCATACACACTATGTACATCTGACCATTCCTCTGTAAGTCATACACACTATATACGTCTGACCAAACCCTGTGGACGCCATACACACTATATACGTCTGACTAAACCCTGTGTAAGTCATACACACTATATACGTCTGACCAAACCCTGTGTAAGTCATACACACTATATACATCTGACCAAACCCTGTGTAAGTCATACACACGATATACGTCTGACCAAACCCTGTGTAAGTCATATACATTATATACGTCTGACCAAACCCTGTGTAAGTCATACACACTATAAACGTCTGACCAAACCCTGTGTAAACTATACACACTATCTTCATCTGACCAAACCCTGTATAAGCCATACACACGATAATCATTTGAACCAAACCCTGTGTAAGTCATACACATTATATACATCTGAACCAAACCCTGTGTAAGCCATACACGCTACCCATATTTAAACCAAACCATGTGTAAGCCATACACACTGTTTACATCTTAACCAATTAAGAATTACAATACAGCTCTACGATGAAGTGTAATGCTTATCTGGCCTTTTGCGTCTATTTTCAATCGCGAAAATGCAGTCACGTTTTTGTTATGTTCATTTTTAAATGATATTACAAAATAATCTTAAATTTGTCATCAGCCGTAATGCACTATTTAGGTAAAATTGTAATAATCAACCTACATCAAGTAAATACAATGTACAGATTGTCAAATGATATATAATATTCTATATTTAGACGTTACTCTCGTTACTATTTAAGGAAACTGATGACACAATCAATAAAGTAAATCCTATTATCAGTATCTATATCAGTAACAAACGGCTTGTTGTTGTTTATTTAAAGCCAATGTCTTGCGTGGCGACCGCGCTATTGATATCGAAACTATTTTTTTTATATATGTATGATCTTTATTGTATTACCCAGCAGGCTAACACAGATACCTGTACAAGCTTGACAAATCAAAAACGGAGAAGTGTACATGTGTTACAGTGCCGTGACACATTGAAAAAGGTCCCAAGTGTTGGTTAAATGCTCAAACCCCCCCCCCCCCATTTTCCAAAGTCTATTTCAGACAAAATGCAGCTTTTTACCACTACTGTATCTAATAATTCTTTCAAACTTTCAAATAGGCACTTCGTACTCTTTTTTAGATACCTTGATTTTGTCTAGTCTTTTAGCAAGCGTACATATAGCTATGAAAATATTGATATTCAGAGCTGAAATCCCATCTTTGCTGTAGAGGATAAAAGTTTACTTTGATAGATCGGGATATAGACAAAGTCAGAGTACTGGCCAGAGTAAGTGTACTTGAGTATATAGTAAGACCTCGAACACAGAGGGTACCNCATTCATAACGTCAAACCATTTATACTATATATTTATGGATCTGATTATTTCTTTTACATTTGTATCCTCTTTTTTCTATTTTAAATATAATGTTGTCCTTTAGAGGTATTTAGCAGTAAGCTTGTTTTGGTCATGTGGTTAAAAATAAACACCCTTGGATCCTTAATGTAAAACAAGATCGTTCGATAAAGAAAGTTCATATCTTCTAAAGGACTATGACATCAGCAATAAGTTACAATGTACAAGTTAAACACTGCAACCGTATTTACATATAGCGAAAACCCGCCGATAAAGACAGCAGGCAAAAGAAGAGAAAAGATTCGATGAAATGTATTTGTTGAATAAATAAATAAGTAAAAACATTCCTTTTTCTTACCTCCATTTATTACTGAAACGTTCGTTCCATCCATGTATAGGTATCTTTAGTTACATCCGAAATCAAATGAAACATTTCACATGTGTCGTATGCATTTTGCACAAAACTCTTCACAGATCTAAACAATGAATCACCGATTTTGTCGTTACGCACAGGTTGGAATGCATAGTGACATGGAAATGTAAGAATTTGGTCAATGTTAATCCAGACTATGACATCAGCAATAGGTACAAGTTAAACCATGTTTACATACAGTGTTAAAATTAAATTATGACCAACCTATGTCTAAGATACGTTTATCTGCGCATTACCTGTTCATAATAGTGATAAAGAAGATGAATACCATTTTATGATGATACAAATGTATATATTTACAATCCTCAATGACATTCACACACTAACATTTGTTCCATGGAGTTATCATTTCATAAGATTCCAAGATTTATTAGCATGTAACCATAAGATCAGGTCATGTAGTTGTACGTTCATTGTATACTAACTTTAATTATTTTTTTTCATATTATTCCCGACAAGTGATTGGCCAGAAGTGAATCACGTGTCCACCGATAAAAACCGATATTTACTTGGAGCGCGTGATTTTTGTTTTTAGGACGCG